GTTAGATTTTTGCTGATCCCACAGAGCGTAGAGCACAATTCTGATAGTTTGCACCAGGAGAGGCAAGAGACTCCTAAAACACAAACAATCGAAAGACACTTTAAACTCCTCGTCAAGGTCCATGGACGGTCCTCATTGCTTACGATCGATCATGGAATCTCGTTTGTCGATATGTTGAGATAAACTTCAGACCTGGGCGCCCCCCAGAATTTTTCGCCCTGGGCCATCGCCCCATCAAGTAAAAACGCCGGCACTGTTCCTAGCAAGCCTATTGAAGCTCCGAACGTCATAACTCGCGGTAATGTTGGCTTGGAGGCTCACTCCCATAAGTTCACTCCGTGTGAATGAGGTTAGCGGAGGCCCAATCCTTCCTCTTCCCCAATCCCTAAATAAATCTTCTAATCCCTAATCCCCAAAAAATCATCAAATGACTTCTCCCGTCCAGGGTAAGGCGAGACAGTGTCAGACTCTTACTGACTAAAAACCCCCCGTTCCATGTCCATGTCCTACTCTGGGCCGAGGCCGCGGTGACTCATTGCGCTTGACCCGTAACTCATTCTCATTAGAGGGCGAGAGTGTCAAAGCCTAGCCCGTAATACATGAGCTCCGGTGTAACTCGAAATTGTTCGAGCAAAAATATTTTAATTAACATGTTTAAATAGTCATCAATTTGATTTACTTTGAAAGATGGCGACGTGTGTGACGCGCATGGGATGGCGTGCATCGGCCGGAACGTGGAAATCCTCATCAATATCCCAAAAAACCTTGCTAAATGCACATGTCTACCCCAGTGCGCCGAACTCAATTATTTCTCACACACAAAGACGATCCTTGTTCGGTGAGTAGTAAAGCTGTTTTTCCTTTGCAACATTTAATTTTTCAATATACAATTTAATTTATTTACATTAACTTGGTAACACACAAATTTGATTCTTATTGCGAAAATTATAAGGTTGATTTTTAACTGAACATAAGAAAAAAAATACTGCCATTAGGCATGAAGTTAGTTCACGGAAAAATCGTCTAGTGGCAGCACAAGTCGATTATTCAATTGAAATATTAAATTCTGTTGTTGAAAATTTATCAAATAATTGTATCTCAAATCTTGTTAAATATAAAGACTTTAATAAAAACACAATTTAATCAACATGAATGGGACGACGCCGGGTTCGGAGGAGGATCCTCGTTCAGCGATCAGGATCAACATGATGCCGCCGAAAATCAGACTAAACCGGGATATTATATTCACGTTGGAAGACCTTTTCGGTTCGTCTTTATAATTAAAAAAACTAAAATATTTGTCAATCTGTGTTTTGAGCATTTGACTGTTATTTTATTATAACGCCTGATTTAATTTTAATAGCACTCTTGGAAGGATCTTACAAGTTCTGCACGCTTAGGGCTGTTGACGAACGCTAACCAATTTAGCAATAATACCTAGGTACATTAAGTGTGGTACAAGTGTTTTATGTTGTTGATTACTGATGAGGCGCACGAACTGAACTCTTTTTCTTTCCATACAGTAACGTCTGATAATATAATAAATAACTAATTTTCTTTTTTTTTTGTGAGGGTAAAATCATCAAATGCCTTTCCCGCCCAGGGGAGGCTCTTTGAGACGCGCGCGGAACGCTACGCGCCGCTCGTGTCTGCATGGTTCTGGTCGGGCGGCGAGCTTCCTTTACTTGCCGTCCGCAGACCCGTGCTTATGGTTGCCGGAGATCGTCTCTCGATCCCCAACGCCCGAAGAGTCGCGTGCTGCGGCGGCTGGGGCATGAGGAGGAGGATTGCTCCCTCACACGGTCCGCCTCCCTCTTTGCAAGCATAAATGCTTCACAGAAGGAGGAGACGGTGTCCCAGTTCCTCTCGCTCCACACCAGGGCCTCGACTAAGGCCGGTCGCGAGAGGTCGCCGCCGCCAATCACTTCCCTGAGGACACGGCAATAACTAACTTACTTCAAAAGAGAAAACGAGACGAGTTGTGAAAAATGTTTTGTAATGGCGGGTAAAATTAAACAGTTTCCTATACGCGTGCATTGGCCATAGACAAATAATATTGGGTTTTCACGGATTGCATTTTAGCGCAACGTTAAGCGTAACTCAACCAATAATAATATCAATAAAAAAGCTCTAATACCTACTCACTCAATAATAGTATTGCAAAACTTTCAGTTCAGTTCATTAATGAGATAAGAGACACATACATAAACAAACCGTCAATGTTAACCGTACCAATGCTAGCGGAGGATCTGCCTCCAACTGTTTTTGTCGGCAGTTAAAGACTTTTTTTGTGAGGAGAAAGTCATCAAATGACTTCTCCCGCCCAGGGCCGAGCAGGCGGGAGTGTCAGACTCTTGCTGACTAAAAACCCGCCTGTTCCTTCTCCTGCTCTGGGCCGAGGTCGCGGTGCCTCATTGAGCTTACCCCGCAACCCCAGCTGAACATCAGCCCTATAGGGCCCCGTCTGTGGTGGTCTATTGGCTCTTTGAGGCGCGCGCGGAACGCTACCGATGCTAGCGGAGGATTTACCTTCAACTGTCTTCGTCGGCATTTAAAGACTTAAAAACCATATGACTACCTCGCATGACCTATTGGAATTTAGCGTTTAAAACAAAGTTCTTTAACGCGCATTGTCAAAGGAGGTTATTTTTACTAGGTATTCCTTTACTAATTACTTACTTGAAAGCAGCTTCGTTCATATTTGGGTGCACCCACCTTACACGTACGTCAAATTTTTATTTCGTTTGATTTGAATATATATGTGTTTCGTGTTGTTGAGTGTTTTTGTGTTAAAGAGACGATTGACGATAATCATTGCTTTGTTGTTTGTGCATGTCAAATAAGTTTAGTAGCATGGTAAGTTACTTTGTCATTCATTTTAACTGACTTCAAACTTCAAATGCACCTACAAACAATGTAGGTTCGAAACTTCGAACTTACATTTTCTTTTTAATTTTGGCTATTTCTTTAGTTTTTACAAACGATTAGGAGTTCTTGGAGTCTTTAAATACTTAGTTACTATTGTGAGACTGTAAAATTTACTGAAAATGACGACTTTCTCACGTGAATAAACTTCGACAAATAAAGCGACTTCCCACAGCCTACGCTGCACGCGCACGCTGATCATGAATAGTAAGAGTATCACTGTGGCTTGAAACTAGCTTTTCTCAGTTTAAGTACTCACGTGAGCTATTCGTTATTGTCTAGGCGATTATTATTTTAAACAGGTTAGTATTTTGCACCTTAAACATATAATTTCCTTCCAGCGTCCCTAGGTGGCACCACTGCGCTGTTTGTGGGCGCCAGCGTGCTGACTGTCGTCGAGACGGTCCTCTTCATTCTAAGGCACTTGGTCAGGCTGATCATCAGAAGGGGGGCACGAGGCAGGGTTGTTGAATTTAAACCTTAATATGTGGGGTATAAGTTTTAATTAGGCTAATAAGTTTAGAAGAAATTGTGTAGCGTGTTATTACGGTAGTTTCCAACTAGTCAAATTCAATACTTTTATCCAAATATCAAAACCTTTTTTATTTTATTTCCTATGAAATTTGTATGAAATTCTGAGTTATGACGTCATAGTATTTTTGCGTCGAATAGCTTACTTATTTCTTAAAAATTTGCTAAAAAATATCTAAAGTTTAGTGTATTGATCGATCGATGAATAAAAGTATAGTTATTTTTCAATATTTTATTGTATTGAAACGTCGAATTAATTTATTTTTGACCTAGGAAACTACCCAATTAACTTGTAAGAAAAGTTTGTGTCTGCTTGTTATATAAAAGTTACCTGGGGAATAATTATGATGCTGTCGCGTCACAATGTTTGTATAAGACAGTGACAGCAACAATATAGATACTCAGATAATATTTTTTATCTGACTATTGAAAAATCAATTCTAGGCCGAGTAAGTAGGTACCTACAGTCAATCAGATATATTGATGTAGGTAGGTACCTACCTATAGAAAGGCTAAAACAAAATAGCATTTTGAAGACTTTTTCAGTACGGTTTACTTTTTCAGCGTTGTGTTTCGCCGTGTGAGTGAGGTTACCGGAGGCCAAATCCTTCCCCACCCCCAATCCCTCCTCAATCCCTAAATCCCCAAATCCCTAAAAGGTCGGCAACGCACTCGAAACTCCTCCATTGCGTGTGTCCATGGGCGGCGCTAATTACTTACCATCAGGTTATCCGTCTGCTCGTTTGCCGAAATATTACATAAAAAAACGGTAATTACTATTATTTAGTACTAGGGAAAATACTTAGTTCATCACATAATTCAAATAGTCAGACATAATTTCTCTAATTCTTCATTCGTCATTTAGTGATAATGACCCTGCGGACACAGGTAGATGGAACTTAAGCAAATACTTGTTTAAGTGTACTTATTCATAAGTATGTTGTTGTTTTTGTGTAAAATAAATACGTGTTTTAAAATAATGTGTTGTATTTTATTTACGTATAACATTATTTTCTGTCCTGTTGAATATTGATACGACTAGGTATATTAAATAATTTACGATCGTATTCTTTTTTTAAAAAACGTTCCCCCTTAGATTTTGTTGTACCTGGATGACTGAGTTTTGGTTTTTTTTGAAAGAAGCATAACCTGGTCGATCGATTTATAGTCCCCGAAAATCCCTGTCTTTAAACTTACCTACTGAATGTGAGAATCGGTGGAACCGTTTTCGAGATTCTGATTTGAAAAATTGCACGTTTAAATAATTAATGTATTGAACACGAATTATTGCCGTAGTAAAATCAAATAATAAAGTTAAAAACCAGTTGACAGTTCACAGTTCTCATTTAAATATTATTATCGATCATTTTTATAGGAATATTCTAAACATAAAAATATGACCTTGAAATCAATGTCAGTCATTAGCACCTTGCGCCGAATTATACAATGAAAAAGAAAATTTTCCGTAAGTAATTCGAAATAGTAAAGAACTAAACGCGAATTAGTTATCATCAGGGAGACAATAACAAAACGTAGGATGCTGTCATAATGCCCCTCCCACTTTACAAATGTATTTATTTTCGAAAAATCTAACCTAAATTTTAACATAAAAATAACAACGAACGAACGATAATCATGTTTTTTACAATGCTGACGTTTATCATAAACACATTTTATTATAGTTTTTCGTTTTTATATTATTTATTGTCATTTTGTCACGCAGTCCTGCCTTTTGGACTGGATATCGGCTTGGTCGGGTATGCTGCGTATTATTTGACTAAATTGAAGAAACCTGAGCCAGAGAATGTGATCAGTATATTTGGGCCGGACCCTTGGGGTAAGGAAAGTCAGTATAAACCTGAGAAAGTGGTGCGTTGTATCGCTCATAGAGGCGCTGCTTTAGATGCTCCCGAAAACACTATGGAAGCCTTGAAATACGTAAGTAAACCTCTTTTCTTGTTCTATAAAGTCACTGTGACCAAAGAGTTTCTATTAGGATGTAAATTGATGATGTGGGATGACCTATTAATTAGTAAATGATGTGGGCTTAGTGGTAGAAAAAATGTAAACAAATCAAAAGTATCCAATTAGAAATTGTATTAATAACAAGATTTAGCGTAAAATACTCGTTACCAGATATTTAGAATTAGATTCATTTAAAAAGGGATGACTATCCTTGTTTTCATAAGGAAATAAATTTAGAAATAACTTTTGTAAATTAAGTTATTCTAATTCTTATTTGAATTAAATCTGTTATCATATGCCTCCAAAAAAGTCATAAAACATGCAAAAAAAAAATGCAGAAACCAATATGTTACTAATAATTTAAAATTGTAAGTTTGTAATCACTAATTCGCCATCAACAAGTGTGGTTATTTATTCTAATGCCTTCTTCGTGCGAGAAGACGACTTTTTTGAACAGTGGGCACTTAAAGGCTGGCTATAACTTATGATATAGCTGTGGGAAATTCTGATTACTTATAAGAAATTGGATAAACTTAATTATATTTTTTTTTATTTAATTTTTTCTATCACTCACAACTATCAGCACAGATACAACACTGTTGTTGCTTCACACCAGTTTTCTGTGAGGCCGCGGTATCACTCATGTCGAGCCGATCCATTCGTGCTGAAGTATGGCTCTCCAGTCTCCCACACTTAAAACATAATAGTTCTCGTAGTTGAATTACATTCTTTAATCAATTTCAGTGCGTGGAACATGACTGCAATATCATAGAATTGGATGTACGAGCCTCCAGGGATGGGAAGCTGGTACTTCTCCATGATGAGGGCTTGGAACGGCTGACTGGTACGGACATATCCAGCATCAGAAATGTTGATTGGGATCGGATTAAAGATATTGATGTAGGTGCCACTCATCCTAACAGGTTGGTAATTAGCTTTTTTGGTTTCTTACAACTGTCTTTATTAATCATCACTACATATGGTATAAAACAAAATCGCTTTCTCTGTCCCTATATCGCTATGTATGCTTAAATCTTTAAAACTATGCAACGGATTTTGATGCGGTTTTTTTATAAGGTAGAGTGATTGAAGAGTATTGTTTATATGTAGTATATTTTTTGCTCTTCCTGTTGTTACAATAAGCTGTACTTTGGGTGGATACAAAACTGTTCTTGAAGGGTATCCAGTGATGTATCCCTTTTTATTAAAAAGTTCAAGTTATTAAGTTATAAGGTCTTGAAGCATTTTCTTTTTCACTCCTGTTTTCGCTAGATTGTTTGGATGTGATGTCGTTCTTTATATCTTTTCACCTGTTTTGTGACTTCTTCCGTAACTGTTGTGATCTTAAGGTCTCTGTGCCGTACCAAGTAGCATGTGTGATCAGTCGTAAGATTTTAGATGGAGTCTGCAGAATGCTTAGGTTTGATTTTGAGGCTGTACCCTATAGTTGAATGCTGTAGATCAACACTGGCTGAAGAATACATTTTATTAATAGGAAGGTCTGCAGTAAATAGAAGGGTCAAAATAGGGCCGAGCATGCTTCCTTGAGGCACACCTGATAATATAGGGTGTAGGTTAGTCACTTTATTTCCCTGTTCTACTAAGAAATGCCTGTCCGCCAGTATGCCTTTTTTATGTGATGAAAGTTAGTTGGAAGCTTACTTTTTAGTTTATACAGGAGACCATCATGCCATACTCTATCGAAAGCTTGAGTGACGTCTAAGAAAACAACCGAACAGTAGTGTTTAGCCTCCAATTCATTATGTATTTTCGACCAGCCTGTTTACTTGTTCAATAGTAGAGTGTTTAGCACGAACGTAGTATAATAAAAAACATTAAATAGTGGAGAAATTTAGTAAGTATCAGCATATAGCACAATGTTAGTTACATAACTTCCCGAAACGTCTTTACTGATTTTTACCAAGTTTTATATGCATAATATTTAGTTGGTCTGAATGTGCATATAAAATTGTTGCTAATGATAGTCGAATATAATATTTCTATGTATTTTCCTCTTATAAAACTTCATTATATCTACAGTTTACCATTAAAGCCACCACCTTCTCGCTTTACTCTTCCATAAGGTTGAATATCGCTTATCTGATTACAGGAAGCAATTCAAAGATGTCCGCCTCTGTTTACTGGACGACGCCCTAGATTATCTGTTGGCGAATAACGTCAAAGTCATTATTGACGTTAAAGGCGAAGACAAGCAGGTATACAGCCTTATTTGTCAATTTATTTATTTAATAGTGCTACCAGTTAAAAAATTACCCAAATGTTGCCCAACACTAAGATTTTTCTCATTATCACACAAAACGTTGTTCTATACGAGAAACGAACGCGCGACCCTTTGGACAGCAGCCAGTTGCCCAGCTACTGCGCCAACCGTGACTATAATTTAACTCTGTGCCAAGTTTCATTAAAAATCATTTAGTCGTTTTTGCGTGAAAAACTATCAAATATCTATACATACAATACAAGATCGTGGTGGCTCAGAGGTTAAGGAGCCCGCTTCTCATGCATGAGGGTGTAGGTTCGAAACCTGGCAAGTACCAATGTGACTTTTTCCAAAGTTATAAGTACTTTCTATGATTATTTAGACACCACTGACATACGGTGAAGGTAAACATCGTGAGGAAACCTGGACTTATAATTTCGAATTATAAGTTTGAAATCGCCAATCCGCCTTGAGCAAGCGTGGTGATTAATGCTCAAACTTTCTCTGTGTGAGAAGAGGCCTTTGCTCAGCAGTGGGCACTTATAGGCTGATGATGATGATAATGATGATGATGACTATATATAATTATAGATGTAGATTACCTACTTCTGTTTCAGGTAATTGCCGGCGTCCTGAGTGCATACGCGACGCGTCCATCTCTGTACCAACACGCCGCCGTCACATGTTTCAATCCATTCGTTTTATACCAGGTAAATTGCCATTTTAGACATTAACAACCGGTTTCCGAAAGGCCGATCAATGTTAAAATCAATTTAATCTCTTGTCAAGTCATCTGATTGGTTGACTGAATTATCAACAACCAATCAGATGACTTGACAAGAGATTTACCAGGAGATTAGTTAATTTTAGCGTTGACAAGCCTTTCAGAAACCGGGTGTAAGAGCTGATTTTTCAATGGTTAGATAAAAGTTATTCGGGCAATAATTATGATGCTGTCGCGTCACAATGTTTGTATAAGACAGTGACAGCAACAATTTTATTCCTCAGATAACATTTATCTGACTATTGAAAAATCAGCCCTAAAAGTAATTATTTCTTTTTCACCATCATTTGGATTGGCTATTTGAGCTGCTCGAGTCTAGTTCAAAGAGCCAATAGACCACCACAGGCCACGGCGCTTATAGGGCTGATGTTTAGTCTGGGTTTACCGCGGCCTCGGCCTAAAAAGGAGGAGGAACGGGGACGTTTGTAGTCAGTAAGAGTCTAACCTCCCTCTCGCTTCTGGAAGAAGTCATTTGATGATTTACTCCTCACAAAGAACCCATCAGTTGGATGGTTGGCAGTCAACAATTGTGCGATTTACGCGAAACTTTCTGCCCCGCACAGCAAAACGTCGTGGTTTCCTATTAGGCGTCCGCTTCTCATTTGTTTTATGTAATAGATCGGCAAACGAGCAGACGGATTACCTGATGGTAAGCAATTAGCGCCGCCCATGGACACCCCCGCAACAACAGAGGAGTTACGAGTACCTCGCCGACCTTTTGGAGATTTTGGGATCGGATATGGATTGGGCCTTCGTTAACCTCACTCACACAGTGATGTTTCACGCCGGTTTTCTGCGAGGCCGTGGTATCACTCCGGTCGAGCCGAAGCATGGCTCTCCCACACTCATATTCCTTACAGATTCGTAGGAGCAACCCTGACATAGTTGGCGCTCTCAGCTACCGACCTTACTGCTTCAGTTCACAAGATTATGATGCTGAGAAGGGACCCAATAATCCAAGGTAAGGCAGATTCTTTCTTTCTTTCTTCCTTATTTTCTGTTTCTAAAAAACGTTGCCTCACATTAGGATTTTCTCCTGTGTCGTGAAAGCGTTTACAAACGTACAAATTTACATACACATCACACCTAGACACGAAACAACAATTTGTGGATCACACGAAGAGTTGGTCCGTGCGGGAATCGAAACCGTGACACGTTGCACAGCACAGCCAATTGCAGTCAAGCCAAAAAATCCCTTATGCAACCCGCTTTCCCCAAACCTGTCAAGTACCAATGTGTCTTTATCCAGTTGTATATAGTTTCTATGATTATTTAGACACCACTGACATACGGTGAAGGTAAACATCGTGAGGAAACCAGAACTTACTCGTTTAATTTCTAATTCAAAGTTTGAAATCGCCAACCCGCATGAGCAAGCGTGGTGATTAATGCTCTAACCTTCTTCGTGTGAGAAGAGGCCTTTGCTCAACAGTCGGCACTTATAGGCTGATGATGATGATGATGATAAAGAAGTATGTCAGCACCTTTTTCACTTGAAACACAGGTTTATACGTGGCTCAGGTTGCTGTTAGATATCGATTGAACTTACGAATTATGAAGATATAGTACATATCTTGTAATGTACCTTTTTACAATAAATCAATATTTATTTATTATTTGTACATTACGAATTCACTTTTTTATTGTATAAGTCGGTAAACGAGCAGGCAAATTACCTACCTAAGCAATCGGCCCCGCCCATGGACGCCCATGGCATGGGTATCCGGTAACCTCACACAAACAGCGAAAGACAACGCTGTGGTAGTTCCAAGCCGGTTTTCTATGTGGCCGTATCACTTCTGTGAAGCCGACCAATACGTGGAACTATAAAATTTTTTTTATAGTCTAAACTTTTGTCAATAAGTCAAATAGTAATTCATCTTTTTCAAGGATAGAGGATATATATACCTATAGGGTGTAAAAAGACACTTAACGAAGCCGTTAACTACGCATACTGCAGTTCTAACTAAGTAGCTTTACGCTAAAATTATCGCTGGGAAACGACTTTTATTTTTAGGTATCAAAAAAATAATAATTTTATTGCGCGCAATGTAAAGCAAACGGGCTTCGTGTCATTGTGTGCGTAGGTTCACAGCTTAGCATTAAAACGCTGTGATAAGTACGCAGGTCGACGTTTTACTTCGCAACAACAAAACAATTCTGTAAAATAAAAATCCTTCTGGGATGCACGATGTTTTTGGTGCGGGTCTGCATTTATTTATTACATACATTACTGTTCGTAACTTCAAATGCGTAATTTATTTAGAAAAATCGAAAATTCAGGTAATGTTTGTTTGGAAAAAAGTTTTGTACTTAATAATATTTAGAATTCGACAGCGCAAAAAAAAAATTAAAAATGCATCTTTGACCTTCAATATCTCGAGAACCCGTGGAGCCCCAGCTATGGTCTTAAAGAAAAAAAATATCCAAATAATGGGTAGAATACGTGGCTTTCGGCTTCGTTAAGTGTCTTTTTACACCCTGTATATGTCAACATTGTCATCAAGTTGTAGTATGTTATTTTAGGTTTGGAGAAAATTTGGCAATTCATGGCGCGCTTCGTCTGGCGGATGCAGTCCACGCGTTACTGTGGCGGTGGGCGGCGCGCTGGTGCGCCGTCAGCGCTGTCCTACTGCACAAGGATATTGTCAGCCCGTATGTATACCGTTGTCTATAGTGTAAACTTAACAACGCTGTGGTTGTTTCACGCCGGTTGTCTGTGAGGCCACAGTATAAATATCATACAGTATTGTAACTCGGCCGCTTGAAAGAAATAAATACCTACAGCCGCGCGGTACGTAAACATGCGTTAGGGCTGCTCGTCTCCCGTATTATAATTACCTTTGTCTACTTTCTGTTTCCATTTAGTTTTGTGATTGTAAATATCCATATTTATATAAACATATATATAGAATGTTCTAAAATCACAACCCTCAAACATCAAAATATTACATGAGTCTAGCTGTTTTATTGTTGTTATTAAATATTTTCTAGTATTATTCATAAACGCAGATAATAAACAAATATTATTAATAATAAAATACCACACTCTCTACTTTGAATAATTATACAAACTAACAAAACATACATGAACCGTTTTAACACAAGCGTAAGTAGGTAGGTACCTAACGTATCATGATTCATTCAGAACTAGAACCGCCTATAACTACCTATTTCACTCGTCTCAATAACTTTATTCATATTATTTATAAATTCAAACATCTGTTTTCGTGAGATAACTGGAAATAATGATCCATAAAGACACACATTATTTACCTACCTAGGCTACTAGTAAGTAAAATTATTTTATAGTCTTACCTTTCAGAGTTTCCAGGTAATTTAAAAAAAAAACTTATGTCTGGATGCGTTATTGACGAATTCATGCAACCAAACATAATAACAGCACAATATTTCCTATTCGTCATATTAAATAATGTACTCGAGCTGATTTCTAAATAAAAGACAACACACCGTCCGTTCGTCACTGCGGTACAGCCGCGTTTGTCTGCGTCCCGAGCGCGTCCCGACATCGGGCGCGTAGGTATAGTTCGCGTTTCGGCCGTTTCTATGAAGTTGAAATACTTGTAGATATTATTACCTTGGTGAGGCCGTGGTATCACTCCGGTCTAGCCGACCCATTCGTGCCGAAGCATGGCTCTCCCACACTTTTAATTGATTAAGGTCTGATAAATTTTCAATAAAGTAAGGATATAGCTGTATAATTACTATTCAAAAAGACGTGAAATTTCGAAAGATACTAACTAACATACAGATTGAAATAAAATTAATCGCAAATAATAGTAAAACAGCGAAGGGCCACGAAATATTTACCTGGAGCTACACAATAAAAGTAAAAATGTTTGTGCTAGACACACTAAACAATAACAGGACATAATTATAAACAATTTAATGAACATTTTTGGTAAAAAAATAATACTTTTACATCATTTTCCTGCCCTTGTCCCGTTTTATTTGGGGTCGGCGCAATATGTTTTTTTCTTCCATTCTGTCCTGTCACTCGTCACGCTATCGCTAACTCCTCTGTCTTCCATATCACTTCTCACACAATCCATCCATATTTTCTTTGGTCTCCCCCTCCCTCTCCATCCATCCACATTTATAACCATCCACATTTAAAAAAAAATAATACTTTTACACTCACCAAAAAAGCTACCGAGTAAGTAAATACATTTGCGTATTTACAATTTTATTTAAAACAACAAAAATAAAAGAATCGTACTATTCGAAATTTAAAAAGCGCGCCATTTTTTTTTTTTTTACATTTAGGGCATATTTGTCAATGGTTAGATAAAAGTTACCCGTGGGATAATAATGATGCTGTCGCGTCACAATGTTTGTATAAGACAGTGACAGCAACAATTTTATTATTTATTATGTTTTCGCCTTACTCACGTAATAATTTGACGAGATACTCGACTAGTTTCAAGCCATGCTAGAGGCCCATATTCATGAGCAGCATTCCGCGACAGTCGAGTATCTAGTCTAGTCGAGTATCTCGTCAAATTATTACGTGAGTAAGCCGAAAACATAATAAATAATTTAGAATGTCTCACGAAAGTTATAATATAAAAACAGTTTTATTCCTCAGATAACATTTATCTGACTATTGAAAAATCAACCCTAATTGATTCTTATTTTTGCCTCACACAGGAGTGAAATCCATTACTGGAGATGGCTAGGTATCCGCTGTGCTGGTTGGTGTGTTAACAGGCCATTGGAGAAATTGTACTGGCGTGGAGTTCTCAAGTCGCCTTACCTTGCCAACACGCTACTTGGAGAACCCGATGTAAGTGGCATTTTGAACCTTATATTTAAAGTCGTTAGTGTTAATTTCAATTGTATTGGAATAAGCTACCTATCTTTGCCAGCACTGACTACGAAAAAGGTATTGTAAGTGGTATTTTGAACCTTATACTGCATGTTGTTAGTGTTAATTTTGATTGTATTGGTTCAAGCCCCCTTCCTTCGCCAGCTCCTGAAGGTGTTGTTAGTGGAATTTGAACCTTATTTTTTTATTACATAATGTTAAATACCGTCTTGTTAAAGACCGTCCAAAGCTCCTTAAGACCCTCGCTTATCAGCTCAGGCCTCAATGCGCCCCTTCAGTAATCACCAACATAACACACTAGTTCCATAATGTACTATTAATTCTTTGTTTTTTTTATTTACAGGTGGAGGGCAAGCGGCCAGAGAAAGAACTCAGCAACGACCGCCCAGGTCCACTCGTCGACAAACTCCTCGAACCCGAACGGAAAATGTCGTCAGGACAAAACTAAATTTAAAAATATTTATACACACTATAATTTAATATTAACACTTTAATAATTCTGCGATTTTTACACTGAATAATTTGAACTTTTTATAATAACTATCATGAGACATACTAAATTAACTAGAAATCGCGGGTTACTCACGTGTATATACTGAGAAAACATCGACTAGTTTCGAACCACAGAGGGGTTCTTCCTCATGAGCAGCGTGCGCGGACGCGGCGACGTCGCGCAGCCTACGCCTACCTTCTGTGGTTCGAAGCTAGTAGAGCTTTTCTCAATATATACACGTGAGTAACCCGCGATTTTTAGTTAATGTAATTTGAACTTTTATTAACAAAAATGAGGTCGTTTGCTCAGCTTGTCCATTAAATAAAATAAAAAAAAGAACGCGTAAATAAAGCTAGCCTGATGCTTCGGCACGAATGGGTCGCCTCGACCGGAGTGATACCACGGCCTCACAGAAAACCGGCGTGAAACAACCACAGCGTTGTGTTTCGCCGTGTGAGTGAGGTTACCGGAGGACCAATCCCTGCCCTGCTCCAATCACTCACAGACTCGTTACTCCTCTGGTATTATGGGTAGTTGCTTACCATCAGGCAGTCCGTCCTGGCTATGGATTTAGCGAATAGAGATTAACATTTTATTTGCAGCTAACTTGGACGGTTTATAAGTAACTTTGATTTTTAAAATCTCAACCGTGTCTTGCGCTTAGACTAAACGTCATAGAGTTACACCCGGTTTCTGAAAGGGTTGTCAACGCTAAAATTAACTAATCTCCTGTTAAATCTCTTGTCAAGTCATCTGATTGGTCGTTGATAATTCAGTCAACCAATCAGATGACTTGACAAGAGATTAAATTGATTTTAACATTGACCGGCCTTTCGGCAACCGGGGGTTAGTATAGACTGTTTCTAGACAGATTTTTCCTTACAGTTAAAAATCGCAGAATTATCTACACTACGTACAAATGATACCAAATTTATTAGTTTTTAATTTGAACTGTTTTCTTGCTAGGTTGAATGACCTATCTGGAGGCTAGCTACGCTTGTTATGGTCTATCAGTTTAGATAATTAACTCAATGTAACCAATATTGGCATGTCTTTTTTAAGTGTGGGAGAGCCATGCTTCGGCACTACCGGAGTGATACCACGGCCTCACAGAAAATCGCCGTAGGTAAGCCTCCCTTATATCCAACCGAAAGATTGAAAATTTGATCAAATTTTTCACTTGCCTGTTTGGCTTATTTTCTTAGGACTTTGATGGACTTTGATGTAGCAATTGAAATTAAAATATGACACTTGAATAAACTTTTTTTTATGAAATAAAAAGGAAACGAGCAGACGGATCCCCTGATGGTAAGTGATTTACGCCGCCCATGGACACCTTTAACACCAGAGGAGTCACAGACGCGTTGCCGGTCTTTTGCATCATCATTCCACCCGTCCGAAGCCAGGGCGCATAGTAAGATAATAAAGGCTATAAATACTATTGATATTCTTGTTTAAAGTAGTATTCAGTACGGCCGCCGTATCTTGGCGAGTCTGAAGTTAGCCGTTTGTCTGCGCAATGGATCTTTTAGGAACAAAATTGTGTACTGCGCAGCTAATCGGCTAACTTCAGACTCGTCAAGATACGTTGACGGTATTGTTTAAGGCTTAATAATAATAATTACGATTTGGTGTGAAAAGACATGATACAGTTTATTTTCTTTAACTTATACACGGTGGGTCAGATCGCCTCGAATGTAACGGAATTTTAATCTATTTTCTTATTCGAATTGAACCTGTTTTTGTTGTGCCGTTGTGGTTGGTGATGTGACCTTTTTGTGAGGGGGGATTATCCTTTCGTCTGCAAATTTGTTTTTCTTTTTAATTAAAAAACGTTGTACTACATTAGGATTTTCTCCTGTGTCGTTGGTGCGTTTACAAACATACAATTTCACATACACATCACACCCAGACCCGGAACAACAATTTGTGGATCACACAAAAAGTTGTTCCGTGCGGGAATCGGAACCGCGACATTGCATGGCAGCCAGTTGCCCAGTTATTTATTTCGTTTATAATTTATAAGGCCTGATTTTTCAATAGTCAGATAAATGCTATCTGAGGAATAAAATTGTTGCTGTCACTGTCTTATACAAACATTGTGACGCGACAGCATCATAATTATTCCCCAGGTAACTTTTATCTAACCATTGAAAAATCAGCTCTAAGATTATTATAAATATTTCTAAACAACGGTGTGACGAAACAGGAGCTTATTATGTGTTTTCATTTTTGTTTATTTTTTTTTTTGTCTTTATTACGTTTTTATTATTGGTTCTGTTGACATTCGAAGCTGTCATTGGCTCTGAAGTTATCCTGTCTTTAATAGTTACATTGCCTAAATCTCTTCAACTCGGGAGAGCCATGCTTCGGCACGAAGGGGTCGGCTCGACCGGAGTGATACCAGGGCCTCACAGAAAACCGGCGTGAAACAACCACAGCGTTGTGTTTCGCCGTGTGAGTGAGGCTACCGGAGGCCCAATCCTACCCCTCCATCCTCAAATCCCCTATCCTTTAATCCCTAATAACCGACAAGGCAACGCATTTGTAGTTACTCCTTTGGTATTATGAGTGCCCTTAGGCGGCGCTGATTGCTTACCATCAGGTAATCCGTCTGCTCGTTTGCCGACACAAAAAATGCTTTATTACAAAAATGCTAAATGCAATGATATTATAAGTAAAAAGGTGTAGATAGGTTACAAGCGCTCAGCAAGTGATACATTAAAATGTGGCTAACTAGCCACACTTTTTCATATTTGTTTCTCTTTCACTCGCGATTATTGAATCGTGCCATCTCACTTTGACGTTTAAACATGCGAATTGTTCATGTGTGCATAAGTGTGTAGTTTTTGAAAATCGAATTCTGTTTAGGTAACCTATCTACACCATTTTACTTATAATATCATTGGCTAAATGTAATTAGAAATTAATTATACATTATTTAATTTTATTTCATTACTGTGCAATATTGACGCGTATTGTGTGCGTTAAAGTGATTTTTTTTATTGATTTGCATAAAATATGTAAATGATTTTACGCGGTAAAATTGTGTAGATTTTAGGTTATCTATATTTTTTTTATTTTTAAATGATGAACAAATTTGAAAAGTTTTGTTTCACGTTATGTTTATGACCAGAGTTTAGATTTTATTTTTCTGTTGTTTTAATTTATTTATTTTTATTTCCTTTCCATGTTGGCGATTTATTGAAATGTTCTTTAAAATTTAATAGTATTATGTTTGCCTTAATTTGAACTTTTTTTGGCATTTTAAGGCAAAATTAATAAAAAAAAAACGAAATATGTATGAAACTTTCTCTCTTACTCTTATAGCTTGCCTATAAGTAAGAGAAGGACAAAAAATATATTTTATCTGTAGTGATAAAAGAGTCACTTCTAGAAGAGTAGAAAATACAACCTATTTTATTTTTCTATCTTTTTCTCTCCAACGCGTGCGAGGGAGACAGATTTTGTTATGTTATTCTTGTAGAGTAAGCGCCTGACGAATTATGTAGCTAAATACGAAATATTTTTTTCTTTAAAAATTTCGTCCATATTTATTAATAATGCTTGCCAATAGAGAATGCTTTAATTTTTTACGTCCGTATGGATTGAGGAGCCACTTCCACTTTAGCCACTTTATTTAGTAGGGAAGTAAATAATTTTGTAGACCGAATTCTGAAATTTGTAGTATAATATGTCTAAAGTTATGTAACTGTGAATGTGGCTCCTCAATCCAAACATCTGAATTGAGGAGCCACCTGAAAGACGGAAAGTATTTCATGTATATTTTTGAAAATTTTGTATCATTTAGTAGCAATTGTGTATAGTGTCTACTAAAAATTTGAGCCCAGTATTGTTTATATTCAAGAATATACAATACTTTTAATGTGGCTCCTCGATCTATACACAAGAGCATGAATTGCCATGAAAGTTATTGGTCAATTTATATTCCACTCTAAAGACATTTAGTAGTAAGTGTGTTCGAATTTGTAGTATATGGACAAAGTAGTAGACTGAGCGAATTTAATAAATAAATGCATTTCATTTGGCTCCTCAATCGTGACGTCTGCATAATAAATAATTAACTGTACCTACCTGAGATCAAAACGGAATAAAATACCAGAGACACTAACATTTAGTATAAACGGTCTACTAAATACATATGCACAGATCAACATTGTATATGTTCGGTATCTGAAAAACAAATCACTTCTGAATATTCCTTACGAATTCGCTATTTAGGGTGACCATTTTTGAACATATAGCTTTGAAGTATTGTTTTAGTGCAATTTGGAATAAGAAGTGTACTAATGATTCATGCGAATTTACCCCAATATCTAGACAGATCGCTTTTTTGCCTTTAAATCTGAATATAATTTGTGTTTTTGGAATCCAAAGTTTAGAAGAGGCAATTTGTATTGTAGAAGAAAATAACGTTTGCACATCTTGTAACCACCAAACAGTGTGTAAATATACTGTAGCAAAAACAGTGTCATTTGAACTAAATGTTTCTACGAGGTTTAGAGTAAACGAGGTACCAGAAACTATAATGATTTCAAGTAGCTTATATACTTTAATAGGCGTTATAGAATTTATCCCTGCGATTAGCGAAGCTGGAATGGGTCACTATAAATGTCACTACCCAGCGAATGATGAGATGTTTTGTTATGACGACTATGATTCTCACTGTAAAATTCATAGAAGCACCGACCAACCAATATTAATTCATTCTTTAACTTATGTCGAAATTGACTAGATACTAAATATCCTAAACCTATGAAGAATCTTTGTACCGAATATTGTCGAAAAATTAAATTTCAAAAATGAATCATCCTAGTTTAATTCATATAAAATGGTCACCCTAAATAGCGAATTCGTAAGGAATATTCAGAAGTGATTTGTTTTTCAGATACCGAACATATACAATGTTGATCTGTGCATATGTATTTAGTAGACCGTTTATACTAAATGTTAGTGTCTCTGGTATTTTATTCCGTTTTGATCTCAGGTAGGTACAGTTAATT